TACTTTAAAATCACTACCTTATGGGATGTACTATTGTGGCGAGACTTATGCCACTACTATTTTAATATTTTCTCGTTGTCACCCGATATATATGTATATATCTATCTATCTATCTATCTATCTATCTATCTATCTATCTATCTATCTATCTATAGCAATGGTGTTAACAGTACAGGCATTGGGTATTGCTGGATCAGACCAGCAGGGCAAATGGCAGCAAAGCGATAAAAACACTTGTTCGTCCGGCTCAGCTCAGTGCAGTGACATCAGAAGCTGTGCCCTACGTACGTTACGTCAAAACACGTGACTTCATCAGACCCCTTCATCAGACCCCTGATGAAGTCACGTGTTTTGATGTAACGTACGTAGGGCAGACATGGCAACATACAGGACCCTCCCATGGCTTTCGCATTGAGTACTTGTTACGAGAATGGTGGCCTTGGGAGGCGGGCTTTAATTTATAGTATAACTGGTCCTGTGATTGGGCTGGGGGCGGAGCCATACCCATTGTATGCTGCCATGTATTGGCGCCAGGAAAAGAAAATTACCGATAGGTAAGTATACAATTTTCCGTTATATATATACACATACAGTACATATACATATTTCTGTAGAGCCAGTCCTGGGATATATATGTATAGCTCTACCAGGCAGCAAAGCCATGTAGGTTGCCTGACTTGCAATTAAGCAATAGAGCTCTGTCACTTTTCACCCCTCGCCTTTTATTGGACAGCAAAGTAGCAGCAGAAAGAGTCATTCACTTTGCTCCCTCCTCCTGTCAAAATGTTCCCTGCCAGCTCATATGTACTGCAGCACAATTGATAGATTCCTAGCGTTGGCCTTTCCCATTTCATGCTCAGTGCTGCTTACAAGAAGCTATTAATTACGGGTTAAATAGAAAGGCTTTATTTAAAAAAAACTTTTGTTTCTATTTAAGTTTACCTCTTATATCATGTTTTATCTTACACCCATATTCAGGGTATAACATGAAACATCGCCAAATCCCCACCCCCATCCGGCTCCCCCACTCACCTGAATCATTGGTTCCTCCTTCCGCAGGCTGCTGCTGTTTTGGCTGTGCCTGGCTCCCTCCACACAGCTGCATCATTTAGTCACAGATCATTTGACAGGATCTGTAAATGGAGAAACTACAAGTCCCATCTGCCTATGTGGTAGATTCATGGAATAAAAATGTGGTACATCATTGCAGTCTATTGACACTTCCTCCTCTTCCTGTTACTGAATGTCAGTACATCACTATGGACTGGGATAGGAGGAGAAGTCTGCAGGAGCCAGAGCATTGTACCCACGATCCTCTTTATTTAGGTGAAATTTACCTTCAATGCCTAACTTTAGTGGGGCCGCACCATGCTCGGTTATGCCTAGGGAGTGGAAAAACTGCTTTTTCCTGTCCTCCAGGCATAAGTGAGCATTTAACGGTTGCATGGCAGCAGCAGCCCCACTGCAAGGGAAACCTTTTAATTTCCCTGAAGTTTGGGCTTTAAGTTCTGGTGTAAAATAAAAAAAAGAAATTGCAGTACACTGATCTGAGGGCTCATTCACACCAGCCTGCCCGCTAAAACACTGCTGGCTGGTGTCCGTTGTTTAGGGGCGCTGAGACGCATTGCACTGTTTACATTTTTTTCTACTGTACTGGTGTCACAAAATGGCACTTCATTCATGTCTATGCAGCATGCTGTGATGCGCTGCTGTGCGTTGTCATACAGTCTGGTGAGTACAAAAACAAGCAAAAAAATGTTGTTTTTAAAAAAAAGCAGAAGTTGTAACCCTTGCAGTGGTGGCTACCCCCGCAAAAAAGTTATATTCACCCAAACCTCGGAGACGGCACTGGTCCCTGGTCCTATACACAGTGTGTAGAACAAGAGGATGCCGAGGGACATGCCATCATTGCAGTGGAGGAGACAGGCTGGAGGGAGCGCTGTCACAGCTGGTCAGCTCAGCAGATAGGTTTCGGTTGTTTCCCAGGAGTTCTTCCTTAGAATATGCAATGTGAATAAGAACATGTAACAAATATAAAGCAGGGGTCATCCCAACCTGCCTGCAAAGTGGAAAACCATGTTAAAACATAAGTGCAGGCACAGAGATTTTGGAAAGTTCTGATTTAAAAAAATAAAAATGACAGGTACATACAGCTTATTAAAATGTGTTAAATATTTATAGCTGACATGGAGGAGATTATTTTTTTCCATAATAATTCCAGTGCATAAGCTACATTTAAGACATATTGTACATAAAGTGTAATAGATAGTTAAAGAGTGGGAGGGTGTGGTAAATAATAAAACTCTATTTCACAATGCGGAATGCCCTCAGAGAAGTTTGCTTTTGATTTTGACCAGTTGAATGCTTCCTTTCACTTACAAAAGCAGAACAAGTGAGATCAGACCTTGGCATGTTTGTAGGGCAGAGCAGTGTATACAAGACAGTGAACTTCCTGGTCTGTCAGAGAAACGCTAAATCTGTCTCCGTGACTTATCCCTGGGATCCCTGCACTGAAAAACAAACCTGTGTAAGTATTGCCGATGCGTTATTTGCTGAAATGCTTTCATCTCTAAAAGTGTCACAGTGAAGTTTTAGATTTTGTTGTTCCAAAAATCACTGAGCTCCCTATGTATATTTGCAGGTGTTTGGTCTTATTTATAAAAACTGGGGAAAGGTAAACGGTAAACATAGTATAAAAGTAAACTGAGGAAAAGGTAAACAAAGTGTAAGGCCTCATTCACACATGGCATGTTGCCCCGTAAATTTGGAAGGGCTGTTTTTTGAAGCACCTTTAGCTGCAGAAAAAGCGTGCGAGCAACTCATGTAAGTCTATGTAGATGCAAGAGCTGTATGCCCTCACAGGCTGCTTCCTACAGCTCTGAGTTTTGACAGTCACACACTGACGGTGTATGGCCTTAGACGCATACATGATGTATCTAGGTCCGTACATCGTCTGTGCGGCTGCAAAAGCTCAAAGCTGGGAGAAGCAGCAAGTGAGGGTGCACAGATCATGCATCTCCATAGGTTTATATGAGCTGCCCGCATGCTTCTTCCCACAGGTTTGGATGCATAAAAAAAACGTCCCTGCATGTAGTATGGGGCAACACACCCTGTGTAAATGAGGCCTAATGGTAAACTGGAGAAAATGTAAACATGGGGAAAAGGTAAACTGGAGAAAAAGGTAAACACGGGCAAAAGGTAAACACGGGGAAAAGGTAAACTGGGGAAAAGGTAAACTAGGGAAAAGGTAAACACGGGGTACAGGTAAACACCGGAAAAAGGTAAACTGGGGAAAAGGTAAACACAGGGTACAGGTAAACACCGGAAAAAGGTAAACTGGGGAAAAGGTAAACACAGTGTAAAGGTAAATACAGGGAAAAGGTAAACTGGAGAAAAGGTAAACACAGGGTAAAGGTAAACACAGGGAAAAGGTAAACTGGAGAAAAGGTAAACACAGGGTAAAGGTAAACACAGGGTAAAGGTAAACTGGAGAAAAGGTAAATACAGGGAAAAGGGAAACTGGAAAAAAGGTAAACACAGGGTAAAGGTAAACACGGGGAAAAGATAAACTGGAGAAAAGGTAAATACAGGGTAAATATAAATGGGGGAAAAGGTAAACAGGGAAAAGGTAGACACGGGGTAAGGGTAAACACAGGGTAAAGGTAAACTGGGGAAAAGGTAACCACAGGATAAAGGTAAACTGGTGAAAAAGTAAACACAGGATAAAGGTAAACTGGTGAGAAGTAAACACAGGGTAAGGTAAACACAGTGCAAACATAAATACAGGATAAAGGGTAAACATGGGCAAAAGGTTAACACTGGGAAAAAGTAAACTAGGGAAAAGGTAAACACAGGGTAAGGCCTCATTCACATGCACCTGGAACTGCAGGAAGAAGCATGCAGACAGCTCCTGTAAGTCCATAAAGATGCAGGAGCTGTGCGCGCACACACGCTGCTTCTCGCAGCTCCGAGTTTTCACAGTCACACACAGACTGTGTATGGCCTCAGACACATACATTATGGATCCAGGTCTGCACACTGTCTGTGGGAAGGAGTGTGTGAGGATGCACAGTTCATGGGTCTCCATAGACTTTAATGAGCTGCCTGGATGCTTCTTCACGTAAAAAGTAAACGCAGGGTAAAGTAACATCGATGGCCTTATCTGTCAGCCAGCATTTAGTTTATATTTCTTGTTGTGTATGATAAAAACATGGGGGGGGGGAATTGATCAAAACTTGAGCAGGCAAAATCTGGAGCAGATTTGCACTGCAGCCAATCAGCTTCTCTGTCTCATTGGTTGCCATGGGCAACTGCTCCAGATTCTGTTTGCACCAGTTTTGATCAATTTCCCCCCCCCATTGAATTTCTTTAGTTTCTATGTACAACGTCTCTATTAATACTGGCTCCTTTCTTACATAGATCATCCTGCTCACAAACAGTTTATTTTTTATTAGTCATAAACCCAAGTCTTCTTTCATACACTGGACTAAAACATGATTTGCCAAATATTTATAAAAAAGTGGTATTAGTGACTTCCCATGCTAACCTATACAAGGTAACACTCTTCTATTCCAGTCAATGATTATTCTATAATATCAAAGCAGAGTGGAAAGATTCATGGATAAGAAAGGAGCTCACATTTGTTTGTGCGTGATGATTAAGCCTGGGCTGTAGTTCCTCTTTCAGTTCCTTTTGCCCCGGGTGCTGTAAGCCCGTACAGCATTGAAACCTAGCCAGAGTACTGTACCCACGATCCACTGATCACAGTTGCAATGCTTTACTGGCTCCTATGCAAAAAACAATAATAAGTGCACGTTTTTTTCTTTTATGAAGAAGTGTGGGCTTATTTTTTTTTTTTAAACGCTACTTTAACCAATTAATTGAAATAGTATTTTAAGGTGATTAATAACTCGTCTTTACTTTGTAGGTAAAATCAAGCAATCTGCTATGAAAATTTAACCTCTCTAGAATTTGTGCACTGAAAGGACGGATGAAGAAATATGGCGGAATTTATCCTACTACTTATTATCCCCTTTGTGTCGTCTATGTTCATAGGTACACATTGTATAGAACGCCCACTCATTAAGAATCAGGAACTTGTTACTAACTACTCTTACAAGTTACTGAGTTCCGTCCCTAAGAATGTGTCTTTAGAGACGACTGTGTTGGATCTGTCACATAATAACATCAAAAACCTTGAAACAACAGACCTCAACTATCTGTTGTATCTCAAAGTTCTCAATATTTCATATAATCTGCTCACTGAACTGAACAAAAATATATTTGACTCTAACAACCACTTGGAGCATTTGGATTTATCCTACAACCAGCTTAAGAATGTCTCTTGCACATTTCCAGACAACCTTCGGTATTTGGACATTTCGTACAATCATTTCAGAACATTATCTGTAACTAGAGGTTTGGGAAATCTGGTAAAACTGGAGTACTTAGGGTTTGGTGTGGAGCAGTTTCTGCACTCGGATTTTGAAGCAATCTCTCAACTAAAACTACAACGTGTGTTCATCAATTTAAATAATCTATCGGATTACCAAAATGGCAGTTTACTCATGCTGAACACAAAGTACCTTCACCTTGAATCTCTGCTCATGAAAAAAGATATTTTCAACTTACTTTTTGATGCTGTGAATGTATCTGAATCTTTGGAACTGTCCAAGATTGACAATGTGGTATATGGAATAACGAGCAACATATTAAGAATAGCCAAGAATTCTAGAGTCACCGATTTAACTATGTATGACTTTTCACTACCATGGAATATACTTACCTTCATTCTTCAGGTTATATGGCACTCACCTGTTGAGAAGTTCCATCTGTCTGAATTTACATTGGTTGGCTTCATCAATAGAGTTCAGTTTGACTATTCCAACTCTTCTATGAAAGAGCTTTACTTGAACAACATTCAAAGTAAAGTTTTTTTGTTTAACCAAACTATATTGTACAGATTGTTTTCTGAAATGAACATTGAAAATTTGACCGTAAATTCGGCCAATTTTCTCTTTATGGAGTGTCCTTTAAAACCTAGCAGCTTTCAGTACTTGGACTTTACCAGTAACGCAATGACGGATGATGTCTTTCAAAATTGTGCAACGCTGACTAAGCTGAGAACCTTTATAATGGTAGACAACAAGCTGCAAGCCTTAGTCAAGGTGAGCTCAATGACAAGCAAAATGATAGCCTTGCAACATCTTGACGTAAGTCGTAACCAGCTTCATTACAATGAGGAGACATGCAGCTGGTCGCAGAGTATAACAAAGCTGAACTTGGCTTTCTGTTCTTTAACCAATTCTGTTTTTAAATGTTTGCCAAAGAATATTAGGTGGTTGGATTTGTCTAAAAATGACATAGCATTTATACCATTAAACATAGCCTATTTTGAAAAACTAGAATATCTTAACCTTGCATATAATCGATTCTTTGATATGCCCGACTGCACATTGTTACCTCGTCTAAACGTGCTCCATATTGAATACAACCAAATTCCTTATCCATCTACTGACTCCATTCACAAATGTAAAAATGTCTCCAGAATAAACATGGGGAACAACCCATTCCATTGTTTTTGTGAGATAAGAACCTTCATTAAAACAGTAAGGAAATCACCAGAGCGAATGAATAGCTGGCCAGAAAATTATGTTTGTGAACTCCCGGACAACGTTAAAGGGGTCATGTTGGCTGACTTCTACTTGCCTGAAATATACTGTAATATCTATATACTGGTCCCAGTTATAGTTGTGCCAATAATCCTTGGTCTTGCTCTGCTGTTTATTGTATGCAAATATTGTGATGTGCCATGGTATTTAAAGATGATTTGGCAGTGGACAAGGACAAAGCACAGGACTAGGAAATCCCAAAGTGGCGACTGGGAACTCAGGAGAGATTTTGACTTCCATGCTTTTGTTTCTTATAGTGAACACGATGCATCTTGGGTTAAGCATACAATGTTGCCAAGTATAGAGAACACTGACAACTCGATACGGATCTGTCAGCACGAGAGAAATTTCTTGCCAGGAAAACCCATTGTTGAAAACATTATTAACTGCATTGAGAAAAGCTACAAGTCCATCTTTGTTTTATCTCCTCATTTTGTGCAGAGTGAGTGGTGTCATTATGAACTCTATTTTGCTCATCAACAACTGTTTACTGAAAAGAAAGACAACCTAATTTTAATTCTGCTTGAACCAATCCCTCAGTACATTATCCCTTCAAGGTACTCTAGACTGAAAGCACTTATGGCAAAAAGAACATATCTGGAATGGCCAAAAGAGAAAAGCAAGCATGGTCTTTTCTGGGCTAATGTCAAAGCAGCTATTAGCATCAACTTGTCAGATCTGCATCATGAAGAACCACACTCTGAGACCCAAGTGCTCCTACATGATCAGGAAAATATCCACTCAAGTGAGAGTACATAAGTAGATCATCTATCTGGCCACTGAATGTTTTTTTTTTTTTTTTTCAGCCAGACTACAGAAACCTGGATCTGTCATTTGTTGCCTTTGGGTGTACTGGAAGTGGTCTTAAATGAGCAGATCTTATCAGAGACGCAATCTTGATTGTTGAGAGCAGCTACCAACAACAACTGTTGCTCTCGACTGCAGTGATACTTAGATATATGTGTGGTGAAAATGGTGTCTACTTTTAGTTATGAAAAAGTAAAGACTGAGACTCGTCATTAGACATTTTTTAGCATGCTGTATAATCTGCTTGATCAATACAATGCTTGCATCTAGGTGCAACCACTATGTATTTTGTTTGCATTGCTTGCCACCACTATGTAGCACATTGCTAACCTTAGTCTTAGATTTATGTTTCAAAGGTAGTAACTCATTAAAGGGTGTAACTATAGCTGTCACATGGAATTGCTATTAAACTTGTTATCATAACAGGTTTGGTAAAGTCTGATTTCAGTATAATTTATTCATTCTTGGGTGTGGAGTTGTGAGCACCTGATATAAACAATCATATGGCTCAGTGATTGGTTTAAAAAGATAATTATTACTTAAGAATGATTAGACTCACATGAATGTATTAGTGAATGTATATAATTCATACTCCTGTGTCAGACTTTCATTAAAGCTATTAGTGTATTGCAACATTACTATTGTAGAATATACAGATCTCAGTAGTGGGGTTGGCTTTAATGAAAACACTCTCCAGTCAAGAGAGATACAATGTGTACACTAAGCCTAACCTTGCTGCCAAAAATGTATTCTGTTCATCCCGGCACTATGACAGTGCACCACAACAACACATCTCAACAAAACTTCCTAGTTGCCAGTTACTTGGTGTTCTGGCTAGCACTGTGTTTTACTTTGTGATGGAGTATTCTGATTTTATCACATTTTCTAGCTTATATCCTCTTATGGAGAGTCCATTATCCCATTATCCCATAGTATCAGCTCCTGGGATCCTCTGGTCAAATCTCAACTCCATACCATGGATCCCTAGTTCCCCAATGCTCAGTATCTGGCTCCTTTCTTTATCAGAAGCCATTCCACTATGGGGTTCATCTTTAAAAGTTGCTGACGAGTATAGGAAGGTTCTATACTCGTCAGTGCCATCTAGGTGCAGTTTAAGCTTTTATAAATGAACCCCTGTGACCATGTGACCATGCAGGCTGCAGTTATTCTGGGTTATTCCAAATGTAGTGTTCACTAAGACAGTATGTTCCCTGTGTGCCATTAATACACTTTGGACCATTAAATACATGTTTATACACACTTCTCTTTCCTCATTGTGATTCTTTATTCTGTTTTATTATTTTAACATAAATACTAGAGGTGCAGCCCTTGTTATAAATGATCAGGAACCCTCTATACTGAGTGTTCCTGTTCATTCATAACTTGTGGACATAGTGTGTTTACTATATCCACAATCATGAATGAACAGGAAGTGATGTAGATCACTTCCCATTCATTCATAATTGAGGACACAGTAAACATGCTATATCCTCAATTATTTACAAACACTCATCGATCACAGGAGGCTGAGCGAGCGGTGCGGGGAGGAGATCTTGATCTGATAGCTGACTCCTCCCCCACACTGCCGGCTGGCCTCTTGTGACAGCATTGTATGTGAGGACAGTGAAGGATTGGCCACAACTTAGAGCGTTGGAGAAAAGAAGAAAGCATTGGTGCCTGCCAGAGCATGGAATAAGTATTACACCTTTTTCCTCTACCCCTAGAGTAAGGAGCATTTAACCCTTACAGTGCAGGGGGACCCCACTGTAAGAGCAGATTTATTAAGAATTCTAGAGTTCAGTTTTCAGCAAACCCCATCTCTTCCACCAATCACCCTTGCCCCCACTGCACCTCTTGTCCATGGCTCACTTCAGCACCTCCTTCACCTCTGCGCCATCTTTTAAAAAAAAAATTAAAAAATATTTTATTTTTAATAAACTTTTACATTTGTGTATATTTATTTATTTATTTTTATTAAATATTTTTATTTTTTACTTTACTTTTAGGGGCTTTGGGTTATTATAAGGGGTATAAACAGCCCCCTGATATTTATCTTTTAAAATAGAAAAATAGATTGAGAACACAGAGTCCACAATCTCTTTTTTCTGCAGCCCCTATTATAATGAACGGGAATCCTCTATACGGAGTGTTCCTGTTCAGTCATAACTTGTGGACATATTGTGTTTACCATGTCGACAATCATGAATGAACAGGAAGTGATGTAGATCACTTCCCATTCCTTCAGTTTGAGGACACCGTAAACATACTTGGTCCTCAATTATTTACAAACACTCAGCGATCACTGAGTGCTTGTACAGCTCTTCATCCTGGGTCGGCTTTCACAGGAAGCTGAGCGGGCGGTGTGGGGAGGAGATCTCGATCTCACAGCTGACTCCTCCCCCACATCGCTGGCCAGCCTCCTGTGACAGCATTGAGAGCTGTCCCCGCCCACGCACCGCTCTCCTGATCTGTCCCAGGAGGCTGAGCGGTGCGGGAAGGAGAGACGCATGCCGCTCACAGCGCTCTCCGCCCGCACCGCTCGGCCTCATGTGACAGTTTAACTCCTCCCCGCTGGGACACAGAGCAGCGCCCAGCGGAGGGGAGAGAAAGCAGGGATGCACCGCTATTTCGGCCAAAAAAATGGCACTTTCTGCATTTTGCCAAAAGTGCCATTTTTGGCCAAGACGTACAGATAACTTCCCATTAATTCATAATTAAACATACTATGTCCTGAATTATTTACAATCACTTGATCACTGTGATCCTTGACTGCTTGTATCCGCTCTCCATCCTGACTCGCTGTCACAGGAGGCTGAGCGAGCAGTGTGGGGAGGAGAGCTCAGCCTCCTGTGACAGCACTGACAGCTGTCTCCACACCGCTCTCCTAATCTTTCACAGGAAGCTAGGTGGTGCGGGAGGAGAGACGCCGGCCGCTCACAGCCTCTCCTCCCCCGCACCACTCGGCCTCCTGTGGCAGTTTCTCGACTCCGCGCTGGGCAGTGCTCTGTGTCCTAGCGGGGAGGAGATAAACTATGGATGCACCTCTATTTCGGCCGAAATATTGGCACATTCTGCATTTTGCCAAAAGTGCCATTTTCGGCCGATATGTTTTGGAGGCCGAAATTTCGGTGCATTCCTAATAAATACTCAGTATCGATACTGAGTATTTGGGACTGTACTTGTACACACCCAAATGCCCCAATGCTAGCCCCTGATACCGGAACTTCCAGTTAGAGGGAGATTTCCTCCAGGTAATGACTCACCACCCGGGAAGCAGTTTCCATGCTAGGGGAGTACCGGTATCGGTAATCCGTATCGGCGAATACCGAAAGATAGATATCGGTACACGTATTCAATACCCAAAAAGCGGTATCGGTGCATGTTTAGTAGATATATTTTGATGGAAATAGTATTTCACATACAAAGTCCTGAAAAAATATTTAAAGGTACCTGGAGCATATAAGGGGAATAGTTATAAAGCAGTTGCATTCACTGCAGGTACATTTTCTTGGCGCATGTGATTGTAGTGTTGGGTTCATTTAAATATTTGGTAAATATCACATTCACTGCTTCATAAATTTTCCCCTAAGTGTCACACTGTAGATATGCTCACTGCCAGTGTATCAGTTTATGACCTTATAGTTTTGTCAAGTTTGTTTAAAGTAGGACTATGGCTTTCCTTTAAAAATGTGTGCTGCAGCAACTAATTATAAATGCATCTTCACTTAAGACTTTTTCTCATAGTCCCCATGCAAAGTCCCACAAACGCCCATTGAACCTACTAGTGAATGGTGCTTCCTGCGATGTTGTGGCAATGATGATGCACTGTATCTAAATTTAGAGCAGAGTTACCACTATCATGTAGGATTGAAAACAACAATAAACATTAAATGGCAAAAAACAATGGAGAAAGTCCGGGACGTTGTCAATGCCACGCTAGAGGTCAGATGCCAAAGCAGGTAGGGAGCCAAGCCAAGTCAAGGAACACCGAGATCAGGATTATTGGAACCAGAGGATCAGTTAGCCAGAGCCAGGGTTATACACGGAGAACAGGACCAACTTCAGAGCACTTGGTAGATCAGGACACATGCAAGGGCGGAGACTGAATGAACAAGCTGATGTTTAAATAGTGAGCTGGTGTTTGTATCATCATTCTGAGACAGAAATTTGTCATGTGTTTTTGAGTTGTTGCAGAATGATGAAGTCAACGGGTTTGGTCATAAGAGGGCGCCAAAGAGGAACAAACGGTTTCAGAAACACTGCACATGCCATGCTGCAAGCATGGAAGGGTAAAAAAACAACAAGGAAGGGTAAAAAAACCTAACATAAAGGAGGATTTGGCTCATTTAGGTAAAGATTTTTTTTTTTAATTATGAGGCTTTGACAGTTCCCTATTGGGAGCTTGAATTTGGGATCCCCCTTTTTGGGTAGTATATGTACTGCCGTACACAATCCCCCAGCTCATCCTCCTCTCTTCTCCCTCCTTTTTCTCCTCCTCCTTCTTGGTTTCCTTTAATTGTTTAATTTCATTTTTTTATTTTATTCCTTTCTTTGATTCTTTCTTTTTCTCTCTTTTTACTATTTCTATCCAATCATTGGTTATATCCAGTCTTTCAGGATAGACTGGCATACGCATCTATGCAATTGTTGATTGAAACTACTAGCTGACATTGATACTCTATGTATCCTTTATCATACTGTTTATTCTACTGATGTACCAATGCCCAGGATGATTATTTCTTGTTGTTCTATATGTGATTGACAATCAACCACTTGCAGTTGTTAAATTTTTAAAAACCAATAAAAATGTATTTAATAAAAAAGAAAATATGAGGCTCACAGAACTGAATCTGGGACTTGTTTAGACTGTCATATAGAAGCCTTTAAATGTTCCTAAATTTTTATAAACAATCTATAGTATGCACAGACCAATAATACAATACATTTTTGCC